TAGTAGTAATTTAGTAGTAAATAGCAGCAACAACAACAAAAATAAGTAAATCTTTTGCGTGATTCACACAAATTTGAAAGCATAGAAAGAAAACAACCAGTATGGCTTTCGTGTAACAGAACTAAATCATACCGGCCCACCAAGGTACTGATACCCAGCAAGCTCAAGCTCCTTCAAGATGCCATCTTCTCCAATGACATAAACCTAAATAAAACTCGATGATCAGTCCTTTGCATTCACCAACATACATCGGGGCAAAGGATAGTTAGGATTGCGAAAGATACAGGCACAAAAAGTGATACCGTTCAGTAATATTGCTCAACATATTCATTGCACACGGATATCAAGGTAATGGAAGTTGCGTTTTAGGTTTAAACACAAATAAATACAAAGGATCTACTGCAGAACAAGTAGCCAAACATACAACTAAGAGCATTCATGAACATGAAATACATGGAAGTTCCTATTTCAAACTGATTCTGCTTTTCAGGTGAGATGGGCATCTAGCCCTTGGAATAGCAATTAAATAGAATATTAATTTCAGGTCGACCGCGAACTAAAACGATAGGTCGTACCTTTTTATCTTTCGGGAAATTAATGGATTTCAAATATGCAGCAGCTGCAAAAGATGATGCAAAAATTTCCTCCTGAAGCGATTCAGGAATTAAAGGTTATAATCATTGATCTTTGTGCCAATCGAGAAAGTGAAGAGCGAAAACTGTGGACTGACCTCATTAACATTCAGGCCAAGAGTCTCAAACTTCTTTCCGTATTGTTTCCTTGACTTAGTAGAGTTGTTAGTAACAAAAACTAATCTTTTGCCCTACAGAAGTTTATCAACAGTTGTAAACACCGAAATCTCAAATTTTGATGCTATAATAAACCGAAGCAAGCTAAGACGGGCGGAAAATCCCCAAAGAAAAAAATTCAAAGGATCAAAGAACACCAGTTGCTTACAATTTACAAATGCAAGTAACTGGCTGCAATACTAAGCAGTAACAAACCTTTGCCCGAAGCATGTCAAGAGTTTCTGGGACTCCTTCAATTAAGCTATCTCCTTTCCATATAACTCCTGCGAATGATGTTAAAAGGAATGTGTGATAAGAAAGAAATGCTGCATCAATACAAATTGATGCCGTTAAGATTATAGGGATGGAGAGATTTAATCGGTTTCAAATTTGGACATGTGGAAGTACTGTACCGTCACAGTCGAAGATAAAAGTCTCGACGGAATCAATGAGCTCATCAGCGTTCTTTAATGGTTGAGCTGATGCGCGCGTCGTGAAAGTTTCCATTGCAGATCGGTTACTGTTGGCCTTTCTGTTCCATCTGACGCTCGCAAACTTGGATGATGGGTTCTTGATAGAATGATAGTGTTTGTTGAGGCCCACTAATTTGAAGTCTGTCGGACCTGATTGGAACCAAAATCTACAAGGAAGAACAGCAGAGCGAGAAACGATGGGAGCGGACGTGCCCACAAGCATCTCCTTAGCACAATTTTCGATCTGATTTTCTTTGATTTTCCCCCTTATCGTTTTTTCAGTGATCCGTATACTGAAACAGGAGCATACACCATTGAGAGGGAGACGATAAAGGGAGACCTGGAGGAGACGATAAGGTTAGCTTTGTGTGTGGGAGAGAGAGGATGCATTCGAACTTGTGGTTTGGGAGGGGGAAGCAAATCATTTTCACCATCAAGCCACAAGTTCGACAAACGATAAGGTTAGCTACTGAGCCACAAGTTTGTACCGTATAACCCATAAGTCATTGTTTTTGGTGTCAGAGAGACTCCCAAGTCCCAAGTCAAAGTCATGAAGCTAAACTGTATGGGCTCCCACTTTCACTTTCATTGTTAATCATTTTGGAAACTTCGACGCTCCCAGAGAGCGTGATGTAAGATAGTATCCATCAAATATTGCACAAAGGACTCCCGAGTGAGCTCCTTCTTCCACTTATATGAAGCCTATAATACTCCTTTGTGCACTTCCAGCTCTGGTTCACACTTCTCAATGCAACACATACAGTCTCTTCCTTGCTTCTTGATCAAATAGATATGGCCATTTATGCTGCTTCATCCTCTTCCTCTGCTCCATCCCTGCCCAAAAAAGTATGATGATTTCATCATCTTTAGGGGTGAGGACGCTCGCTCCAACTTCACTGGCCACCAATATAGACTGCCAACCCCCCAAAGGACATGAGATCTCACCATCACTTCTGCGAGCAATCGAGGATTCATGTTATGCTTCTTCGAGATTGTACTCGGAAGTTAATGGGCAGATCGTTATTCCTGTCTTCTATATAGTTGAGCCATCTCATGTGCGCAATCAGATTAGGCTTTACGAGCAAGCCTTTGAGAAATTTGAGAGAGATCTCAAGGACAACCAGCATAAGATGCAAATCTGGAAGCAAGCTTTCAACGAAGCTGCAAACTTAGCTGGTGACGACTCTCACACATGCAGGTAATAAATTCATTCACATTCTTCTATTCACAAATGATGGCGTTAGCAATGATTCACTGATGGATCAAGTAATTAGGAAATCTTAATCATTTTCTGATAAATATATATATATTTTTTAAATGCTCATGGGCAATGCTGAACCCGCTACCGGGCAAGCGAGGCCTTGGTTTTCAGCAACGCTGGTTTTCCTCAAAAGTGATCTAGGACTCCCTGAGGGAAAGTTAGGATTTGCTTACGAGCAAACGAGGACATTTCACCTCTGGATGGGTAAGACTTGGTTGTGTGTATTGTACAACTTCCTCATGAGCAAACATGTTCAATGTTAATTGTAAATTATCAAAAGAATAGAACTTATTTCAATAAAATTGTTATCTCTCAATTTTTTTTTTTTATTTTTTTTTACTGCGCATCATACTAGTTCTTTTAAGGAAACTACATGTAAAAAGAACGATCTCAAGACCCATGTTATTTGTTAGAAAGCACATCTCTGTCATTTTTTCAATTGACACTTCATAACAAACCAATCTCAAAACTTGAACTTAAGTCTGTCTTTTAAATATTTAAAATTTAGAATTGGATGAGTGGTATCAAGTTCAATTCCAACACTCAAAGCTTGAATTGATTGTTAATTCTTGGACATTTGGTGGAACACGCACTAACAGAGGTGATGGCAGTTTTAAGCTTCTGTAACATGCCAAAAGTTTAAAGCAGGCGAGGCTCAACCTTAATTGATATGCACGAATTGGAGAACAACTGAGTAACAACAAAGGAATCTGAGTATTTTGTTATTATATCGTCAATTTGTCTGCTGGCTACAACAAGGCTGTTCTATTATCTTATGTTAATACTACCTCCAATCTTAATTATAAGACCTCGTTCGTATATCTCTTATAATTAGGACCGGAGGTAGTACTTCATTTATTTATTTATCCCGTAAATAAAGAATTGGTTCCCACCACCATGGAATTTTCAAAAACAGAACCGCATGCGCCGTTCCTTCTGCTTGTGTGCGCATGCGTATATGAAGCTCCTGATCTTCCTCTCGCCCATCCACATCCGCTTTTCTAACACACTTCTCATTACACTACTGTTCTCATCCAGCTCACCAGGACATGGCCCCTGATGCTGCTTCGTCCTCTGCCTCTGCTAAATTTTCCATCAAGAAATATGATGTTTTCATCAGCTTTAGGGGTGAAGACACTCGTGCCAACTTCACGAGCCATCTTTATGAAGCGTTCTGCAGGAAGAAAATAAGAACATACATAGACTCCAAACTTCCCAAAGGAGATGAGATCTCAGCTGCACTTACGCAAGCAATCAAGGATTCCTACGCCTCTGTTGTGGTATTCTCAGAAAATTATGCTTCTTCAAGATGGTGCTTGGATGAACTCACCCACATACTTCATTGCAAAAGGGTTCAAGAACAGATTGTTATTCCAGTATTTTATAAAGTTGAGCCCTCTCATGTGAGAAATCAGACTGGCCTTTACAAGCAAGCATTTGAGACCTATGAGAGAGACGTCAAGGTCAACCAACACAAGGTGCAAATGTGGAAGCATGCGCTCAATGAAGCTGCAAACTTAGCTGGTTATGACTCACACACTTTCAGGTAATAAATTCTTTAATTTTCTTCTACTCACAAATGATGGCGTTAGCAATGATTTACGTGATGGATCAAGCAATTAAGACATCTTGATCATTTTCTGATAAATGTGTTCCTGATACATGTATACTATTTAATTTATCCTCTATTTACTATTTTCATCTCTGACAAACCATTTTTTTTTTTTAATTTTGCTCTTCCATTGTCCTTTTTATTTTCCGTATGTTAGGGATGAATCTGAACTGATTCAAAAGACTGTCAAAGACATATTGCAGAAGTTGAGTCACAAATATCCACCTGCTGATTTGAAAGCACTTGTCGGTATTGATGAAAAGTGCAGGGAGATTGAATTATTGTTAAGAGATTTTGAAACCATTGGAATTTGGGGCATGGGGGGTATTGGCAAATCAACCGTTGCCAAAACTATATTTGTCAAATACTCTTCCCATTATGAAGGCTCTTGCTTCTTGGAAAATGTAAGAGAAAAGTCTGAAAATGGACTTGCTGAATTACGTTATAAGTTTATCTCCTGTTTATTAAAGGAAGAAGATACTTGTACTGATCCTTTAACAACTTTTGTTCTATCTAGACTTAGTCGTATGAAAGTTTTTGTTGTTCTTGACGATATCAGTACTGTGGAGCAATTAGAATATTTGGTGGGAGAACCATTTTGCTTTGGGCTGGGAAGTAAAATTCTCATCACAACTAGGGACAAGCATGTGCTTAGCAAAGGAGTTGATGAAATATATAAGGTTAAGGAATTGGACTTCCACCAATCCCTTAAACTTTTCAGCTTGAATGCCCTCAACACTAGCCTGCCGATAATGGGATATGAAGAACTAACAAAAAGGGCAGTTGCTTATGCAAAAGGAATTCCATTGGCTTTAAAAGTTTTGGGTTCATATCTCCGTGGCAAAAGTGAGGTTGAATGGAATAGTGCATTGAGAAAACTTGAGAAGACTCCCCATGAAAACATTCAAAGAGTGTTGAGATTGAGTTATGATGGACTGAATCATGAAGAAAAGAACATATTTCTAGAGATTGCATGCTTTTTGAAGGGAATGTTGAAAGAACATGTGATCAGCCTATTGGATTGCTACAACTTCTATGGAGCTATTGGCATAAGAACACTTCATGATAAGGCTCTCATAAATGCAAATGATCACATGCCTGTAGAGATGCATGATTTGATACAAGAAATGGGGTGGGAAATTGTTCGTGAAGAATCTATCAATGAACCCGGAAGACGGAGTCGATTATGGGATTGTGAAGAAATCTATGATGTTTTGGCTAATAACAAGGTAATTAAGAGAAACATGCTTGCGTCCTAATATATACTTGTACCTTTATAAAGAATATGCATCTATTATATGCTATACTTACTATCATTCTTGGTTTGGCTTTTAGGGGACTGATAAACTTGAAGGCATAATGTTAGATGTGTCTCGAATCAAAGATATACATTTGAACGCCGACACTTTCAAAAGGATGTCTAATCTGCGATTTCTTAAATTTTATTCTGATTTAAACCATCGCTCAAGTCATGTATATTTACCAAAAGTTCTTGAGTTTTTTCCTAGCAAAATAAAGTATCTAGAGTGGTATGGATACCCACTTAAATCTCTGCCACCAACTTTTCGTCCTGAAAATTTGGTTGAGCTTCACATGCCAAATAGCCACGTTCAAAAGCTTTGGAATGGAATTCAGGTATATATAAACATATATATATATATATATATATATTTGTGCTCATGCTTTTCATTTACTTGATGGTTCTCATTTTATTTTCTGTCTCTATTGTTATAGGATCTCGTGAATTTAGAAGAGATAAACCTTAGCGGATGCAAACGGTTGAAGGAGCTGCCAAATTTCTCTAAAGCCTTAAATCTGAAAGTAGTATCTCTTGTTGATTGTGAAAGTTTGCAATATGTTCATTCTTCTATTTTGTCTCTCCACTCGCTTGTTGAATTGGACTTATGCCGGTGCAAGAGACTGAGGAAACTGAAAACTAAGTTTCATTTAAAATCTCTACAATACATTCGAGTGGATGAGTGCATCAGTCTCAAGGAATTTTCAGTGTCATCAGAAAAAATAAAGGAGTTGAATCTGTGTCACACAGGAATCGAAAATTTGCACTCGTCCATAGGGCATTCAAGTAATCTGGAAGTGCTGGATCTGTTTGGCTTAAGACTGAAGAAAATTCCAAAGCAGTTATCGTGCTTGAGAACATTGACAATGCTCAGGCTTCCTAATTGTGAACTGCTTGATAATTCGATGCTACATATGTTATTTGGGGGCATGTTGTCTCTAACTGTAGTATATTTGACAGATTGTAGTCACATAACTGAACTTCCCAACAACACAGAACATCTTTTAAGGTTGGAATGTCTCTTCTTATCGAACTGCAGGAAGCTTCGTTCTTTACCAAAACTTCCACCATCCATTGCAACCTTAGATGCCTACAACTGCATGTCATTAGAGATAGTGTCAACCTTTAGACCACTGCACAGGAGTGAAAAATACTTCTCATTTATGAATTGCGTGAAACTGAATGAACAATCACTTCATAGTATCATAGAAGACGCCTATTCTATAATCAATGCAGCTGCTTGCAGGTTTCAACAAGAAAGAAAGGCTAAAGGTGCTCGTAGTTTGATTTGCTTTCATGGAAGTTTAGTACCTGAGTGGTTCAGATATCGAACAGAAAAAGGCTCCGTCATAATTGAAGTCCTTTATAATTCAGACTTGTTGGGATTTTCTCTCTGCGTTGTTCTTCAGTTTCACTCAGAGAAATCATGTTATGTTGCCCTAAACTGTGCGTGCTACTTGGGAGGTTTTAATGTGGCAAATTTACCGTACAATAATCTGTTTCTTCCAAATATGAACTCTGATCATGTGTACATATGGAATAATGAGTTTGGTTCTGGTGAGATATTGAAGGCGATTGAAAGACGAGGAAATGAAGAGTCACTCACTGACATAAAGCTTTGCTTTGAATTCAGTGTAGAACCTCGTTTTGGGTACGAGGTTGGTAACATCAACGAGGTAGTTGGTATCAAAGAATGTGGGGTATGTCCATTATATGTCTCAGAATGTCAGAAATTCTCTCCACAAATGGAAATGGTGAAGAATAAGAAGAGGCCTCGTGATGTTGATGAACAACAGCCACTTATTCAGTTGAAGAAGCTCAAGATTGACTATGATTCCCATGCCGACACATGTCATGATATTGATGAATTGAAGGCTCTTTTCATGGCAATTAACATCAGCTGAAATCCCTTCTTCACCACCAACTCTGTTATATGGAGCTTCCGTTTCATCTCAAACTTGTTCCTACAATGAAACCAAGACCCTCATGCAAGTAACTTTCTTATTAGTCATTGCTTAATCCATATCAAACTCTGTCTCTCTTGCTCTCTCATAATATTTTTCCTTTTTATTAGGCTTCTGTTGTTTTCCTGATGAATTGGGAACTTTTGTTCATGGGGCAAAACGACGGAATATTGAAAAAAACACCACTTATTTTGCATTATCCACGTAAAAGTGTAAATTTAATATCTTTGAGTGTATATTTGTTGCTAACTACTCTTTTTAACACCAAATATGAAGTGAATGCGTAATAAACTGACTCCCAAAAACAATGATTATCCTTTTTTCCCGCCTGAAAACTCCTTATAGGCCTAATTGATAATGCCTCTAACCAGTTTCTCATAAGCGGCCTCTTGGTTTAGGCTCATACTAGAACAATAATAAAACACGTTCATGACATCAGATACTCTAAAATAGAAAGTCTATTTAGTAAAATTGAACTATGAGTATTAATACTTTACAACCAATTTCACAAATTTTAGAGGCTTGACTTTGAAGAATCTAAATCCTACTAATTTTTCATCCCCTTTTAAGCTTTTTGATTATCAGGTGTCTTGGTGATAGTCTTAATAATATAGACATACACACTGGATTTGATAAATAGTATTATGAATTGTTTAACGTAATTAAATTATAAATGTTTTCTCATCATATATATACTAATAATATTACTATAAAATAAAAAGGAGTGTAAATGCATTTTAGTAATCAAAGAGTATTACATATGGATTGACAGCATAAATATGCAAAGTTGCATGAAATCTGAAAAGCACCCATTATTGTGGTTCACATACAAGTACTAAATTTAAATTATGGACTTTGGAAGAGTAATTAATGGGAGAGTATAAAGCAAACTAATGATTAATACATTGCTTAAAGGCTATGTTTGTACGAGAAGTACACACCAAGAGTGAGCAATGCTTGTCTCAGTTAATTAGGAGTACCCCCCAAATTACTAATCAACAATCCAGTATCCTATTTACTTGATAAAAATCCAACCCACTAGCTTGTTTCTATTTGGTTGGGCTATTAGCCTGATTATATTTTTTACAAGAAAAGAAGAGAGTATTATACAAAATTTAATCATGTACAATATGATTATGCTTTTATTGATTTAATGATAATAATAATATGAAAATAATGAGTAATTCAAAAGAATTTTGATTTTAATGTTAGGTAGGAATGTATACAAGGCCTGACTGGTTGGTTAATGGAAGTGGTGGAGAGCCTTACAGTACAGATAGACATTTACTCGGTTGGGTCCTCTAGTAGTTGCACTGACTGGGCAGCCTATTAAAAGAAGGGGGTTTGTTTTTTCTTTTGTGTTTTAAGTACATACAAATAAATGATGTAGAACATAAAATAAAGGAAAAATTAGAGATAAATCCCTCGTTGAAAATTTAATTGCCAAATAGGACTTAAAGATTTAGCACGAACTTAACTTTTAATATGTGCAATTTATCTTTCCTTATGTGTAGTGATCTTCTTTTATGGGATGTGCAACACAATTTTTCTTTATGTAAGTAAAATTCTTTTATGTGTAGATCATCTTCCCAATATGCAAACGAATTTTTTATATCTAATAATGTTCTGTGCAAACTATCTTCCTTTTGTGTAATATACTTTCTTTTGTGTGCAATTAATATTCCCTTGTGCAATCAATTATCCTAGGTTTTATTTCCCAAATAAATTTTTGATGAAGGATTTATCCTCAATTTTTTCTAAAATAAATAATTAGACTTGAAAGAAATAAAAGAAAAAAAAAAGAATCATGATATCCTTTCAAATTTCAAGCATTTCTTTTAGATTACTTTGGCTTTTATGGTTTAGATTTTAAATTTTAAGCTTATGTTTTTAAATTATAACTCTTTTTTTAGGGGACCAGCCAAAAAATCACTCTCATTTTGTATATTATTATCTTGAATCATCTCATTTTAATTGAGGTCAAATTGACTTTGGTATACTTAAAAGAGTTTTTGAATGAAAACTAAATCAAAATTTTAAAAATGATTTTATCACAAAGTACAAAGTACAAGGGTGTTTGAAACATTCTAAAAGTGATTTTAAAAAGCACTTTTTCGTAAATCAAAACAAAATTTTTCATATATCTACTTTGTACCATAACATTGCTTTTAAAACCATAGTTTGTTTTTCATCCAAACATCTTCTAAATATATGAAAAGAGTTTTGTCTTAACCTATCTATATGAAAGTATATTTTAAAAATGCTTTTAAGAGTAAGCAAACACCCTAATAGTTAGATCATTCCAAAAAAATAATGTTTTAATATTTATATGTTTGAGATGTTTTATTTTATATTATTTTATTCTTTTCCTGTCACAATGTATGTAATACTACCTCCAGTTTAAAATATAAAAAGATAGTTGACTAATTTAAATAAATTAAAAAAATAAGTTAAGTTAATTACTTGTAATAAATAGATATTTTCTTTTCTAAAATATCATTACTAATCAAGTGTATTTGATTAGAATTATTATTATTAGAAAAACTACTTTAAAAAAATATATATATGAAAGACAAAATGAATTGAGATTTTATATTTAAGACCAAAATAAAAATCAAATAAAACTTTTTTAAAGACCGGAGGAAGAGGTAATATTGAAATTAAAAGTTGGACGACCACAAAAGACATGTGAAAAATTAAACCAATTCTGTTTTCATATGGTCTCCATCAGAGAGAGGTCCGCGTTGATCAATTTAAACTTTAAAGGCACCTGGCCCCTCTTTCCAACTGATTCGTTATAAATAATTAATTACACCTGCCATTCCATATTCCTTTTTCCATTGACAAAAAAGAGGTTGGCGTAGTTTTGATTTATACCCCTGGATTTTAAATATAAAACTAGTTTTATAGTATAATTTATATTATAAAAAATCTTATATTTAAGATGAAATGAGTATTTTATAGATATCGCGATAATTTTATATGTTGGCAGGGGAAAAGACAATTTCATAATTCAAACATCGGATGCCAAGTGCCCAGGTCACACATTACTTAATTATTTTAAAAATATAATAAAATTGTGGCACTTTCTGCTCACAAACGATGAATTTAAAAATTTTAACTATTATAGAGTCATATAGGACCTGTTTGTTTTCATTCTTTGTTTTCTTGTTCTTAGAACAATTTTATAAAATTGTTTCTTAAAACAAGTTTTGAAAACAAAAATAAAAGAATTTGTTTGGATAATAATTTTAAAAAAATCATGTTTGAAAGTGCCACAGGTTTTGAAAACAAAAACTAATTTTAATTTATTGTATTATGTAAAATTTATTTTTTTATTATTTAATAAAACTCAAACCTATTTTAATAATTATACAAACTAAATTTACTTTTATTCAATCATAACCGAAACAATTTTTTATCCAATCTAACATTTACAAACTAACTTTTATAAAATTTAATCAAACATAATTTGTATCATTCCCTTTAACTTTTACTTAACTTTACTTTTTTAAAAGTTAAATTACGATGACTTACTCTGTGAATTCCTAATCCAAACAGATTTTCTGCCTGAATTAGAGCCGATCAGATTCTGCCATGTACTGAAACTCTTTTATATTTAATACTATTTATTAATTTATTTATGTTATGTGGGACCCGCTATCAGAGCCAATCCCCAAATAATTCCCTGAAGTGGGACACCACCCCGAGGCCCCGCCAATAGCCACTCCTCCGCAAAATCGTGATAAGTTTCTGTCAGATTCCCTGGAAAATCTAATGGAAGAGAAAGACAGCAAAAAAGAAAAAGATAGCAGCTTCATCAAGTCATCATCATTTTCCTGTTCCCTTCTGTTGTTTTAGTTCTTTCACCAATAATCACATGACTGTTATGTAAATTGTATTCTTCGGAAAAGAAAAACCGTTTTCCTCAGCTCATCAAGGTGGCAGCGTGATTCTTAATGTTAGCTCAAGGAGGAGATACACTTTTTTCTATTCAAATATCTACGAACTTCTGAAAAAGAGTGTGTGAAAACTGATTATCTTCTAGAGCATATCGGGACTGTGGTGCGTAGAAAAGTGGAATAAAGTAATTACTGTCACTCAGAATGTCCCTAATTCGACGGAGAAAAGGCGGAGAAGCCGATAAGACTTCGACTACAGAGTTGAAGATTCAGAGCGAAGGGACAGAAGAACAAGAAGATGATAAAAAGGAGGGAGCGGCGAAGCAGAGCAACAAGGCGGAGAAGAAGAGCAAATGGTCTTGTATGGATAGTTGTTGTTGGTTCATAGGTTGCATTTGTTCTGTATGGTGGTTATTGCTGTTTCTATACAAAGCTATGCCCGCTTCGTTTCCTCAGTATGTGACGGAGGCGATAACTGGACCGTTGCCGGACCCACCTGGTCTGAAACTGAAGAAAGAAGGGCTGACCGCGAAGCATCCGGTGGTCTTCGTGCCGGGGATCGTTACCGGGGGCCTCGAGCTTTGGGAGGGTCACCAGTGTGCTGAGGGTTTGTTTCGGAAACGGTTGTGGGGTGGTACATTCGGAGAAGTCTACAAAAGGTGTGAAGAATTTGTTCTCAATGTTTGGTAATATCTTAATTTGGTGTTCCTATATCTTTTTGCTTGTAGCAGGCTTTGGAAGATTCTCGGCTTTTTATGGGGATGAGAAGAGATATTGTCTCTTCTTACATGAACTATTTCGATTGGTTTTCGATTTTTTTTTTTTCTAAGTTCGTTGTTGCTGCTCGTCTATTTGTGTTAGTTGAGGATGATAAATGGTAATGACGTGTTGAAAACATACTTTTTTGACGGATCTTAACTGGGAAACCATGTCAAAGTCTGATGATACTTTTGGGCAGGCCGTGTGTCCATAAGCTTTGATCCTTCAGATGAGGGTATAGGCATCAGTCTCACTACTCATTCAATTATTCATTAAAGTTGTTCTCGTGCTGGTTCCTGTCTGATGTCGCTGCCTGTTTCTGTAGGCTTTTTTTGCTGTTAACCTGTAATATTTGGGTTCACTTTTCATAGTATAATTGGATTACCACTTTTCATGTCTTGTTATTTTCTGGATGTTACGCAGACCTTCTTGCTGGGCAGAGCACATGTCACTGGACAATGAGACAGGATTAGATCCACCTGGCATTAGAGTCAGACCTGTCTCTGGACTTGTAGCTGCTGATTACTTCGCTCCAGGATATTTCGTTTGGGCTGTCCTAATAGCTAATTTGGCTCGCATTGGTTATGAAGAAAAAACCATGTACATGGCTGCTTATGATTGGAGAATATCATTTCAGAACACTGAGGTAGCTCTTAACATATATCTAACTGGAGTTATACCTTCCTCAAAGAAGTTCATTGATCATGAACTATTTTCCTTCAATTTCAATTAGGCAATGCTGTTCCTCTAGTTACTAAATTATAGAAATAAGCTACAGTAGATTGGCTATGATGATTACTAATGAATTCAAAGGTGTAATTAAAAATGGCTTTAATTACTATTTATTTTCAAGTAATTAGAAGGCACGGGTTTCTGGTTGAGAGGCTACAGGTAGTAAATTCTTGTGATCAGGAAATTGGAGGGGCAAGATTGTTCATGTGGAAAGTACAATAATTAGGAAACTATAGCCAATTCTTAACCCTTAAAATTTATTTGGGCAGGTGCGTGATCAAACACTAAGTCGGATAAAAAGCAACATAGAACTTGTGGTTGCTACTAATGGAGGCAACAAGGCTGTTGTCATCCCACACTCCATGGGTGTGCCTTACTTTCTTCATTTTATGAAGTGGGTTGAAGCACCTGCTCCAATGGGTGGTGGAGGCGGACCAGATTGGTGCGCCAGACATATAAAGGCAGTAATGAACATTGGTGGACCATTTTTGGGTGTTCCAAAGTCCGTGGCTGGACTTTTCTCGGCTGAAGCCAGGGATATTGCTGTTGCCAGGTATATCAACTTAACTATCACTAACAGTGTTATACTCCATGCTGGCATCATAACATCTTTGGCCTTGAACAAAATTGTAATAGCTTGGAAAGTTAGAATCATTGCGGAGTGATTTGCTAATATTATTAGTTAAAAGATTAGTTCTGCGGAACTAAAAAAAAAAAAAAAGATTCATTGTGATATTATACCGTCCTGCATGCGGGTTTCATTCAAGTTTTATTTTTCCAGGGGGTTTCACAATTTTCTTCAATTATATTTTTTCTCAATGATGTTCTTTTTTGTGCCTGTCGACGATTCACGTACTGAATAAATATGGTTCTTTCTTTTATAACTATTCAGGGCAATTGCACCAGGCTTCTTAGATAATGATCTCTTTCGCTTTCAAACCTTGCAACATGTAATGAAGATGACCCGCACTTGGGATTCAACAATGTCAATGATACCAAGGGGTGGAGACACCATATGGGGTGGTCTTGATTGGTCACCTGAGGAAGGCTATCTCCCTAGCAAGAGAAGGCAAAAACATAATGATACTCAGTCGACAAGCCAAGACACTAATATCTCAACAAATTCTCAATCAAAACCTGCCAACTATGGGCGGTTCATATCATTTGGCAAGGATGTGGCAGAAGCACCTTCTTCTGAGATAGAGAGGATTGACTTTCGGGTGAGGCTATGTGCTGTATTATAGAAAGAAAACATTTAGTCTAGTTTCTGTTTGCTATGAGGTTTTTCTATAAGCGTATCATTTGGATATTTTGTGCTATATTATAGAAAGAAAACCTTTAGTCTAGTTTCTGTCTGCTATGAGGTTTTTCTATAAGCGTATCATTTGGATATTTCTTACAACTTGGCATCATATGGTTGGTTCTTTATAGAAGGTTCCTTCACTTATTTTTATTCGAGCGCCTAATGGTAAATACCTAATGAACTTTGTCTCTGTCTCGCCAGATATTGCTGAAGAAGTTTTCTGTAATCTCTAAGCACAAAAATGGTTTCTGAGCAATATGTTAATATTTTAGTCTCCTTTTTAGTAGTTATCATCCAATTTTTGGGCTTGGGGAAGATTGTATTCATCTTGTACTTAAGATTTAACTGCTTTTGTCTTAGCATATAGTCTAAAGCCAACGGGGTGGCTATCAGTGCATCACCATTTAACTACCCTTACGGCCTTCCTCATAAAGCCCCTGCACTGGTCTTTTGCTAGATATAACCAAATTTTTTGTTTGATTACCCCTGAAAAGGGGGACTAATGGTAGTTACCTTTTATTCTTCTTTCTTAGACCATTTAACTACCCTTGGCCATAAAGCCCCTGTAGTGGTCTTTTTCTACACAACTAAATTTCTTGTCTGATTACACCCAAAAAGGAGTGCTAACGGCAGTTACTTTTTATCTTTCTTCCTCAGCACAATCAATGAGAGTAACCCAAATTTCTCTTTCGATTCTTCATAGTCTTCTCTTCCAAATGAACCAGAGGCTGATCTTCACCTGGTCCATATAAATTAAGTTCAAGCATTGTCTTGTATGCTTAGTCTTTGTGTATCAGTTGTCTTGAATCTGTTCAATCTATCTTGAATATTGTTGACTATTGAGTTTGAATTATTTTATAGGACGCCATTAAGGGTCCAAATATTGCAAATACCACCTGTCGCGATGTATGGACTGAATACCATGACATGGGAGTTGAAGGAGTCAGAGCTGTTGCTGAGTATAAAGTTTACACTGCTGGCTCTATTGTAGATCTGCTTCATTTTGTTGCTCCAAAAATGATGGCTCGTGGTAGTGCTCATTTCTCTTATGGAATTGCTGACAATTTGGATGATCCAAAATATGAGCACTACAAATATTGGTCAAACCCCTTGGAGACAAAGTGAGAAATTTTGCTTCCTTACTCTTAATTTTGAATCTGGTTCTGGTAGTAATGCTCCTATAGCTCCTTCTATTGCATGCTCATGATATACTCATCATTACTTATAATCATGAGCTTATTAGTACGTATAACCTTCTGTTCAACAGTGATTAATATGGTTCTTGCTGATTTCTTTTGCGCTACTAATTGGCATTCTCTTAAGAGCAACTTCTTTACTGATTTGTGAGAGAAATGTTTTCGCAACCATTGTGTCGTACTGTTAATCTGAATACAAGGTCTGGATATATATGCTCAACTTGATTTGTTAGGCTTGAGATTGCTTCACCATAGTTGTTTTCTGTCCGCAATTGTCAGAAATCCTCTGCATCTGACCTGTTACGATAAGATACTGTGTAGGCGATATGGGTTGACTTAACTGGTTGAATGGACCTGGCTTAGAACTTCTCTGTGCAAGGGCCAAATGCGGCCTTAAACTGACAATCTTAGCGATCATTTCTTCCTATGGAAGTAAATTCACACTTAGGGATAATTGAGCATCCTCCTTTAAATATATATTTATATTGGAGGTAGACCTTGGAGCTTGGCCTCTTGTTGCTCCTCTGGATCCTTGGCATGCCTTTAGCACTTAATAGGTAGTCTCGGAGCAACCTGTTTCTACATCTATGTTTTCCACAACGAAATTACTCATTATGCATCTGGGAGTTCAAAACTGGCATTTCAAGCGGTTTGTTGTTGTTAACCTTTCCCTGCATGAAGAAATAGATATTATTTGGTCGCACTGTTTGTATTCATTTCATTCTTACCTTTTCCTGCTCTGATGCCTCAAACTAATTATTGCAGATTACCAAATGCTCCTGATATGGAAATCTTTTCTTTATACGGAGTTGGCATACCAACTGAAAGAGCTTATGTTTACAAGTTATCTTCCTATGCTGAGTGTTACATTCCTTTTGAAATCGATACTTCAGCGGAAGGTGATGATGAGGATAGCTGTCTGAAGGATGGAGTGTACACAGTCGATGGGGATGAGACAGTGCCTGCTCTGAGTGCAGGTTTCATGTGTGCTAAAGGTTGGCGTGGGAAAACCAGATTCAATCCTCATGGAATCCGTACTTACATCAGGGAATATGATCATTCTCCTCCGGCCAACCTGCTTGAAGGCCGAGGCACACAGAGTGCTGCTCATGTTGACATCATGGGAAATTTTGCATTGATTGAGGATATTATTAGGGTGGCTGCCGGGGGCACTGGAGAAGATCTGGGAGGTGATCAAGTATATTCAGACATCTTTAAATGGTCCGAAAAAATTAAGCTGCAATTGTGAACGAAACGTTGATGCATTTTATGCTTCTCCAAAAGCTCAACAGGACTCTTGCTTGATCATGAACAACGCTGTGTTATGCAAGTGCTATATTAAAAGCTTATGTGAGATCCTCTTCAGCAGAATATTATTTCCAAATTCCAAGCACAGAGGAATGTTGTACACCACAAGTTCTGTGAATACATGTAACGTGATCACCAACGTGTGGCACGAGTGCAGAATTAGTTTGATTCCAAAAGTGAAGCCAGCTGTATCCAGATTCTGAAATATTCTGTTCCTATTGATTATTTTGTGCAATAAAGAAGAAGAAAAAGTGTTTTACCAAAAAAAGCGGCAAAATAGAAAAGACAAAACAGGAACGCGCACACATGCGGAAGAAGGAAGGTGACAAATTATAATTGAAAGTTACCTTATGCAAATGCATAATTCTTAAGATGAGACCAAGAGGTTTTATAGCCATCGAACTATATTTAGGAAGTGTTTGGGTAGAAATAAAACTATAATTTGAAAAGTGTTTTTACGGTATACAAAATAAATATGTAGAATAGTTTGTCTCAATTTACAAAATAGTATTTCTGGAGTTATCTAAACACCTTCTTAGATTTAAAATAAGGCATAATCAATTTCACAATTTCACACTTATAACGAGATTTTCCCAGCATTAAAGTCGTAGACTATTTGTTTGACATTTAAAATCATCATCTGCTTGCTTTCATCCAAGTAAGCATAAATTCCCCCCCCCCCCCCCAAACCAAAATGAGGGATAGAAAAACGAAGACACGGAAAAGGATGCAAGGGCATCCGAAGAGAAATATGACATTTTGATGTTATAATTGCATATTTCAAAAGAAAATCATGTCAGCATTGCCATTGATATACCAAACATACTTTTAAGACTCATTCTTATTTTTATTTTCAATCCTAACCACAACCTCATTCCCTTACTGTGACAATTCACCCACTTGCCAAACATAGCCCCCGGGCGATGCCGCCATCACCAGGGCTTGTTTTTGTCGTTGGGCTTTGGGTCTTTTTGTACTCTAATCTGTACTTTCCTTTTCTACCAAAGAGAGAGCCACGGCGATGGCCAAATAAGGCCTAAACGAGTTACTGAACCCGTCTTCCTCTGCCTGGGACGAGCTTCCACAAATTATTTCCGATTTTCCTTTCCTTTTCATGTTGGCATCAGATTCCCTGTACAATGATAGCTGGTGTTTCAGGATATATCGCTGGCCTCCATGATTCATTGGACTTGTTGCTACTGCTTGTGCCCTGTTCATTATTAAAGGATTTCAAAGCCATTTTCGTCGTCGTTATTCGCCGTCCTAAGAGGTATACTGATGCGATAGCTTTTTCAGTCTTTCGTTTCCAACGAAGTTACCTTGTTGATATGGCTGATGCCCATTTCTACCAGAGGCTCGCTGGCATGCTTCTTGAGGTTTCTAGCCATCCTGCCTGGCCGTATCGCTGAAAAATCAACCGAGGCAGAAAGCTGCTTGCCGCGTTTCAATTTTCTGGCCCCAACCTTTCAAATTTCATGAAAAGGGTGACATTGGTAAGCATTCACATGGTATTGAGAATCTGCTGGGGTTGATTTTTTTTATTGCTAAATTTTGAAATAAGATGCTCTGCGGTACACGGATGATTGATTTCCCAAATGCCTGAAAACCCTATTTTGATGTCTAGAGTTAATTAACGTGGAAATTTTAGAAATACGTGTTTTTATGTTCTTGATAATATAAGGATGATGTGCGTGTTTGTATTTTTTTATTTATGTGAAGCTCAAATGTTTTATAATTGGTTCTGGAGTATTGGAAAAATGAGGATATCCACACGCCCAATACTAGCTTGCTTCCCCCCCCCCCCCCCCCAAAAAAAAAAAAAAAGAAAAAATATATATATATATTAGTGCTAGACCAAAAAAAGATTCCGCACCTTAAATTGTAAACCGAGAATTAAGACTGATGAAATATAAATATTTTAAATTTGTGAACATCAAGATGTTGAGTTAGTATGGGGAATTGTAGATCATTTTGCTTGCCATGCATTGCTCGTGAACCCCCGACTTTTTTTTTTTTTGGCTCTAGAATAGATGTAACATGACCTCTTGACCAAATTTATTTAAAGAAATTGCATGTGATTTTCATACTTGAAAAGTTATTTTGCTGATGGGTTGATGCAGAGATTCCTTGACCAAACAAGTAGGCATGTTAAAAATGTAAGTACCAAAGAAACAATAGAGTTGTTAGGCCAAGCAAATGAGTCTGGAGCAAGACCTACGAAGGTTTTTCTTTGTAATGCGCTTAGCTCTTGCGCAAAAACCCAAAATTGGAAATTGGGAATAAAAATCCATGCCTATATGATTCGTTCTGGATATGAAGATAATTTATTTCTTAGTAGTGCACTTGTTGATTTCTATGCAAAATGCAATGCTATTGGGGATGCAAAGAAAGTATTTAGTGGCATGAAATCACATGATCAAGTGTCTTGGACTTCGCTTATTGCTGGGTTCTCACTAAACGGTAAAGGAAGAGATGCCTTGTTGTTATTCAAAGAGATGCTGAATACCCAAGTTAAGCCAAATTGTTTTACCTATACAAGTGTTATAAGTGCGTGTGTGGAGCAAAAGGAAGCCCCCAAACAGTGTCCAACTCTTCATGCTCATGTTACCAGACAAGGATTTGACACTAGCAATTATGTGGTAAGCTCGTTAATTGATTTTTATGCAAAATGGGGACAACTTAATGACGCTGTATTATTATTTAGTGAAACATGTGACAAGGATAATATTGTGTATGCTTCAATGATCTGTGGTTATTCTCAAAACCAATATAACGAGGACGCACTGAAACATTTTGCAGAAATGAGGAAAAAGAATTTAACACCTTCTGGTCATATTTTAAGTAGCATTCTGAATGCTTGTGGCAGCCTTACAGTGCTCCTTCAAGGAAGACAATTGCACTCATTGATTATTAAATTGGGTTCTGAAAGCAACGTATTTGTGGCCAGTGCTTTGATTGATATGTATTCAAAGGGCGGTGACATTGATGATGCTCGTTGTGTGTTGGATCAGACTTCTGAAAAGAATACTGTTCTGTGGACTTCCATGATCATGGGTTATGCTCAATGTGGGAGAAGTTCAGAGGCTTTAGTGCTTTTTGATAGTCTATTGACCGAAGAAAGATTCGTTCCTGATCATGTTTGCTTTACTGCTGTGCTAACAGCTTGTAACCATGCAGGATTGCTTGACAAAGGGGTGGATTACTTCAATCAAATGAGAACAAATTATGGGCTATCGCCTATTCTAGATCACTATGCTTGCTTGATAGATCTTTATGCAAGAAATGGGAATCTTAGGAAGGCAAAGGCTTTAGTGGAAGAAATGCCTTATGAACCAAATCATGTAATTTGGAGTTCCATCCTGAGTTCCTGCAAAATTCATGGAGAAGTAGAGCTTGGAAGGGAGGCTGCTGATCAACTCATAAAGATGGAACCAAGTAATGCAGCGCCTTATATAACACTAGCACATATCTTTGCAAGAAATGGTTTATGGACTGAAGCATCTGAAATCAGAAGCATAATGAAACAAAGGAGATTAAGAAAGCATGCTGGATGGAGTTGGATATAGGTGGATTAGCAGGTTCATGTCTTTGCAGTTGGCAAACAAAATCAATGCAGCAGTGCTAGAAAAGATTAGCTAGAAACGTAGATCTAGATAATGATTTGGCTTGCCAGCTGAAGCTATTTAGGACTTAGCTTAATCAGCTATTTCATGGCTAGGTCAAAGAAAGGCATAGCAGAAGGGCCAGATTCTTTAGGCCCAGGACTGTGCTTGATACCATGACGATTGTGAAGTTACAGGATCTTAATTGTAGTTCTTCAAGCAAGAACGGAGGCAAACAAGTATTGATAGAGTCGGAGGACTGCCAGTATTAATTGTCGATCTTGTCAAAAAAATGTCATCTGGTATGAAAGCCATCACTACGGACTCCGGGATTTCTGCCAATCAAGAGTAGGAGGAAGGGAGGATTCAAGTTGCAAGAAGTGCTTAATCCTGAAGAAATTCATGGGGACAGAGCAAACAGCTTATGCCACCTTTGCCATGAAAAACTTACACAAGGCCTTGAGTGCCCTCAAACAAAGAAGATGCAGACCCATTTGTTGATAATTGAAGGAAGTTACTGTGCAGAAGAAAAAATGTAGAAGATAATGCAAGGGAAGAACTATTAGAACAAGCTCCAAAACAATCTTATTCAATGAAGGCGCAGGTGGCGATACAATACTGAGAGTGCTAGTGTAAGAAAGGTGAACCTTAGAGGTGGAAATTTGCATCCCTTGATTCGACCTATTTTCGTTCTTGAGTAACAAGTTGCTTCAAATGCAGTTTGGGTCTATGCTGGCGTCTGCATTATTCTTAATGTAATCTTTTGACAATCTGATGGGTTGATAGTTTTGCAGATAAGGTAATTGAAGACCAGGAATGCCTGAAATAACTTAAAAGCTGGATCGTTTAATTTGGTTGACCCGCGTACGTTCACGATTTATGATAGTAACTACTGTTCCGAGCTCCTATTCAGGATAATGAATGTGATTTTCCATATGGAAATATACTTTAGGCTCCTCATTTGAGGACTAATCAAATTTTGCTGCTTTTCTTTGTTCAAGTTTTGTTTCCTGTTTTACGGTCACTCGTAATGCTTCTTCCTGTTTGCCTCCTGAGGAGAATTGGATGAACACGCTTCGTGATTCATCCACTGTTGATGTACTAGATTTTTTTCCCCATCACTAATATTTCGTTTTAACTCCTAATTCATTTTTAAAATTAGGGGAAAAAGGGTGACGGCTGATTCTATGGAAAAGTTGCATAAGATTGAAAAGCAAACAAATAAAAGTGAGTAACAAATGGAATAAAGATTCTGTCATTATTATTTAATTTAATTTCTCATAAAGTATCTTAACTTTTTAAATCCTTTCTAGCCTATCATGACGTGAATTACATTAAGTTTATTTGTCTTTATTTCTTATGTATACCATTTACGTGACTCGAACTTTGGTTGTTTCTCGATCTGGATATGTACATAAAAAAATTCCGTGAGTGGGACTAATTTGTTGGCTTCTGCCAGCAAGGTAAAATGATTAATGTATTAATAAATAATTCTACTTTCGGTTCTAATTATAAGGTCTCATTTATAGATTACAAATAAGGTCTTCTAATTAGGGCCGTAGGTAGTATAATAGGATTTTAACTGTGGAGTGTTTAATTAATATCCAAATTATTCTATATTAATAATATTAGCTTATATAATTATTTTTAACTAATAATGCAAAGATGAAGTGTAATCTCTTCCCTAGGAATTGTAAGTTTGTAAGATCGGGTCAATGCTCAATATGGCACATCGTGTTATAGTGGATTACGCAAATTTATAGTTTACATTGTTAATTTTGATCACGAATTATCTTTTAAAAAAGACAAATTACTTTTCTTCATTTATACACTGTTCGTTGTATAATTTGATCAAGGCATTAGCCATGTTTAAAAAATATTAAATGTTTTTCTTAACCTTTTATCAAAAGAAAAAAGTTTTTCTTAACACATCGTGACATTGCTTTGACTAGACATTTTTAGTATAGTATGGATACAGAATGGGTTACTTCACTTTCCATGCCCTGCCTGCGCATCTCAACCTCACATGATACACACTATTTTGTTGCTCGTAGTTTAATTATATAAATTAATCTAATAAAACTATAAAAGTGTATCCTTTGAAATATTTAACATACTCCTCTAGTCTTTAATATAAGAGCAATTTAATTAATTTGATTAGATTAAGAAAGTCAGATAAGTTAGTTAATTATACGTAAGAAATATGACGTGTTTTTTAAATAGTTAATTATAAGAGCAATTTAATTAATTTGATTAGATTAAGAAAGTCAGATAAGTTAGTTAATTATACGTAAGAAATATGACGTGTTTTTTCTCAAAGACCATAATCATCTCTTTTAATATCTTTTTTCCCTCTTCTACTTGATTATAGTTGAAAGAATATTCATAAAGGTAATTTAAAAAAATTAATAAATATAAGAAATAGGTCTTATGTTTAGGAGGTATTATATCTATAACTAGGAAGAAGTGTTTCTTTTAATTATGTGTAAACTTTATTATAGGTCTAAATTTAAAATAGAAATAAAAAATAAAATAAAAAAGGGCACCGATTCACCAAAGGCGAAACTCCTGAGTACGCTCGGACGCATCATATAACTTCTCGTTTTGGGGATTCTGTTTCAAAGCGCTTTCGCTTTGCTTTTCCCATCAAATCAAAATCTCATAAGCTTCTCTCATTTTCTCTCTCGATCACAGCTGAACGGAACTCACTTCTCTCGAGCTCCTCCGTTTCTGTGATTGGTGTTTGGTTCGTCTTCTTGGGCCACTCTATCTTCAACTTGCAGCAAACCCCAATCATTCCAATCCCTAGAAGAAAGAGTTCTTTTTTCAGCTCATCTCTTGAACTTGGAAGTGGAATCAGACAATTGGGCGGTGATCAAGCTCGAAGAGGTAGCTAAATTGTTCGGAACTTTTTTCCTTGTTATACTTTGCGTTTCTTGCCATTTTGCTTGTTTGCTTGCTTGAATTCTTCGGTGTGTGTGTGTGTGTGTGTGTGTGTGTGTGTGTGTGTGTGTGTGTGTATTACTCAATTATTTTGCTCTCCTCTTTGGTTCTGACTTGGTGGAGAGGAAGGAACAGAACAAAGATGTATTTTGATTTCAAAGGTTCAGTCTTAATGCCATGGTGGCATACTTACGGTTATGCTTGGCTATGGATGGTAGCTACAAATCGGGTTACTGAGTGGTTAATTTTTTTTTTTTTAATGAGATTTAGAATTGTTTTTTTTTTTCTTTTAAATATTTGTGAATTTTCCTTCTCTTCTCGTCGCTTGACTGTGTTCGCACTGCTTATTTCACTTGCCATATTGCTGCCTTGCTAACTTAATTAATGTCTTCGGTCTAACATATTCCATTGATGTAAAGTCAAACTTTCCGAGAGAGATTAACCTCAATTGGAAATTATGTCTAATCCTGTATTGCCATCTTTGCAAGAATGTACCATTGTAGATTGACTTTATAACTATTTTAGGTTTGAGTGCCTCATAATAAACATGAATTTGCAACAAGTTGGGCAGCCCAAATCTTTCAACGGATATGGCCGCCGAAAATCTGAAAGGGATGGAGCATTCAGGTCAGAGAATAAGATCCAGTCTGGAAAATCAAATGCCAGCAGATTAGCGAGTACAGGTGAACTTCTGACCTTAATTATTTATTACTTCACTTTAGTTCAATTTGCTTATATATGTGTCTACTGGTGCAGTGCCTGGCACTAAAGGTGATAATTATGAGAGGCCTTCACATGATCGATTATTGTATATAGCAACTTGTCTCATTGGGCGACAGGTGGAAGTCCATGTGAAAAATGGATCTATATACTCCGGAATTTTCCATGCAGCAAATGCCGACAAAGATTTTGGTACTTTATATGATTCTTTTCATTGATTGTTGACATTGAAGTGGAATAGCTAATAAGCTGAATAGTTAATGGGTGTCTGCTTACTTTTTTTCATTTAGTTTCATGGGATATAGAAAAAATTTTCATTGTTGACTGCTTGCATCGGCATTATTTTTCTTCCTTAGGAATCATTTTGAAGATGGCTCGCTTGATGAAGGATAGTTCTGTTCGAGGGAAGAGGTCTGGTGCAGAATTTGTGAGCCAAGCTCCTTCAAAGACATTAATTATATCTGGGAAAGATCTTGTACAAATCATGGCAAAGGTAGTCAATATTTAATGGTTGTAAAAAAAGAATTTTTTTTTTAATAGGAAAATCTCGGTATTCATTTTAAAGTTTGCAATCCTATGGGCTTTTATTCAGGAATTTTATGGTAATTAGTTGTTATAAAAATGGATCTAGGTTTGTATGCAGTTGCCGTGAAAATATTGCCAAACTGTTTCTTATTGAGATTTATGGGCTTTTCAACTATGGTAGGATGTTGCTGTTACTCAGGATGATTTTTGTGCTGAGGCTCACCATGAAACGCACCAGGAGATTATGGTTGATTCAGCAATATCTCAATCTCGTCAACTCGAGCTGGAGAGAGAACTATTACCTTGGGTGCCTGATGGAGATGATCCACAATGCCCTGAACTGGAAAATATATTTGATGGCCCTTGGAATAGGTTGCTATTCCATCATTTCTCTGTCTTTCTTTCTTTCATGAACAAAATAGTTGATGTCTTCTTTTGAAACTTGGTTGTTGACCCACCTAAGTCTTTAAAGTTGGCTGAGAAACTATAGCATGTGATTTGTGTAGTCTGACTTCAAGATGGGAGACTGCTTTAAAATCCTAGTCCAGGTGTAAGTGGTGGTGTTGGAATGATTTGTGGAGCATGGACTGATGGCTTCCTTCTCCTCTGTGAAGCATGGATATTTCAATAGAGGAGTCATGTTAGTGTCCAACACGTTGAATGCTCATATCAAACTGGTGGGCCTTTAACTAATAGGCCAAGAGGATGACAGATATAGGGGCTATGGGCTGTAGGACAGAGAGAAGGGAACGATGATAGGGAGTATATATTGGAAATGGAGGTTGAGGAAGGTTTAAGCAAGCAGACAGTGGATATTGTGAGGGACAGAATCTAGCGTCTCGAATGCTTGGAACCTGTGAGTTTGTCGGTGTGTGAGTTTTCAAGAAACTTGCTCAATGAGGTCATTGAATGAGTTCTTTTGATCAACAATACATCTAAAGACCTGGTTGTTGATAGAGCACGATGGTGTTGTGTGATCTATGTAGCCGACCCTATCTAGTGAGATAAGGCTGCTTATTGTCATCGTCTATTTTCCAGAGACTTGTAGCTATTCTAGCTTAAGCTCATCCTCAAGCTGGATTTTTATCATTGAATGATATATTTGAGTAGTGGGTTCCTTTCCTAACACAGTGACGCTCCAAATTTTTGTTGTTTGGTGTCCATGTGAATACCCATGCTTTCTAGCCTTTCCTTTTTCATAATCACAATATCTTATGCATGTGGTGTGGGATATGTAAGAAAGCAAGAACCCAGTAAGAATCCCCTCGTATCGTATTACTTATAGCTATAGTTGTGATGGAGTGGAATTGCTAGAGGAAAAAAAATACATTGAAAGATGTGCCTCTTTTCATGCAATTTTAATTTTTTGTTTGGGGTGGGGGGGTGGGGAGAATTTTATTAAATAAATTAACCTGGTGTTTTATCAGTTTCTTTTTCCATATTGCAATTTTCCTACGGGTCCCGAGTTTTGTTTGACATTATTATTTTTCTTTTCTGGTATTTTTTAAGAGGATGGGATCAATTCGAAACAAATGAAACATTGTTCGGTGTAAAAAGCACATTTAATGAGGAATTATATACCACAAAGCTTGAAAAAGGGCCTCATACGAGAGAGCTGGAGAAACAGGCTTTAAAAATAGCAAGAGAAATTGAGGGCGAGGAAACCCGAGATCTTCATTTAGCAGAGGTTAGTGTGGCTTGAATGCTTTTCTTGTCTTTATTTCCCTTGTCCCTTTCCAACTTTTATCTTATTGATGTACTATTTTTTATTCCTTGAACTGTCTTTATGCATATATGTGTATATTTATTAATTTTTCCACAGGAAAGAGGTATACCCCTGCATGAAGACTTTGATATTGATGAAGAGACCAGATTCTCGTCAGTCTACAGAGCTAAAGGGGTTGATGACAGTGGGCATGATGAAAGAGAGGATGTACTAATAGATTCCCGGAATTCTGAAACATTTGATGATACGTTTGCTCCAGTTGTCAATAAATCCAGTGATTTAGCCAGTGGTGAAGGCAATGATGGAGTTCGATTATTGTCAGATTCCTCCATTATGGTATTTCATCAATCAGATATTTAATTAGTATGTTACATTTTAACAAGCCTCCATTGTGTACCTTTGGAGGACATTTGCTTGCTGTTACTTTGGTTGGAATGCAATTGAATAATACTACGATACCTCCTTTTCATGAATAATATTTTTCTATAGATCTTGTACTTTTTTGTGTTATTTGATGCTCATATAGTGTCTCTGCTTTCATCCTTATTAGTACTGTCATTGTATCCAGGGTCTGGTCTTGAAATCAGTACAGTTTTAATATCTAATCAATACATTTAGATTCATAAATTGTTGACAAGAAGAAGTCTAATCCCATTGGGTTGGGTTCACTAAATAGATTTCACAAAATCATTGTGCACTAAGATTTATAAATTGATAGTGTCTGTGTTAGACAGTGGACCCACTACTAGTTATTATTTTCTTAATTTGATATGATATCTTGTTTATATGGGTGTGTAGGATCTCCCTCCGTCAACTCAGTCAACTATTGGCGTGGATATTAGCCGCTCTAGTTCTTATGATTCTGCTAAACAATTAGCATCTGAACTCCCTGCCAAAAGTTGTACATCTTTGGATGGAGAAAGGTTTTTGCCGACATTTTCTTGTTTTCTGTATGGTTACTTGTTTGCTCGGCAATGATGCTGCGATGGCATTTAGGAAATAAAACTTAATTACTGACTTTGTAATTAAATTTCATATCCACCAAACTTACAGGGTTCAGGATTCAATCATTGATCAATACGGAGCAAATGATAGTAGCAAGGATGAAAATCAGGTAGTGAGTTGAAGTTCCTATCTTACTAACTTCTGATTCAAGCATAAAATAAATATTGAACACAAGATAGCTAATGTGGACATGACTTAATCCCAGTTTCTTTTCTTTGATTGATCCAGCAGGCTGAGGATGATCGACCATCAAATTCTGAGGGTTTGTGAAGTTTCTTTTTCAGATCCTTGGAAATTGAGTTGATTAAGCATTATGGCTTAAATTAATCTGCATGAAAAAATTAATCTGTAGTAGTACTTGATATATTTCTGCAAGCAGAAGTTTCCTATGCTTGAATCTTTGTCATAGTGATTGATGATTGATTCTTCAGTTATATATGCATTCCTCTGATCATGCCACTCGTGGTGCAGATTCACAGTCATTGCTCAACTTGAAGAAAGATGGCTCTGATAAAGGGGAATTAAATGCCTCCTCTTGTGCCCCTTCATCCCATGTTTTATTAAGTACTCAAGGAAAGGCAGGGTCACCTGGAGATATAATTGAGAGTTCGGCTTCAGGCAAAGTGAATGGGGATACAAAGTCTGAGAACTCCCATGGAAGACCAGGCAGTTCTGCTTCATCTGCTTCAGAGCGTGTGGGAGGTTTGACGGCATCTTCTTGTCCTGGCCTCTCCCCAAGTTCTTCAGTTGGTTCATTATCTTCTGAAAGATCAACTCTGAATCCCAATGCAAAGGTACAGAAGTTCAAGACTGACATGTTCAAACATACAATCACACTGGTTCCGGCCTTTAAGTTACAATCATATGCAACTGAGCTTCCCCAATCTTGTTTTACTCTTCATGTCAGGAATTCAAGCTCAACCCAAATGCAAGGAGTTTCATTCCATCCCAAACGCCTATTAGACCTCCCTCCCCAGTGTCTGATGCTTCTTCATTCTATTTCCCACCTAATGCAACTAGTGTGCCGCATATGCCAACCATGTCTGTTGGTGTTGGGGTAAGTATTCCGTGGTTAGATATGCTTGTACGTCCACTGAAGGAGAAAATGTCTTCTGTCAAGGTTTTTGATTGTTTACGCTAATTAAAGGATAGGGTTTTTACCTGCCATTCATCTGAGGTTGGATATGTCGTCAACTCCAAGGCACATGTTAGGCAGTCTAACCTTTGCTTTACAAGATTCAAAGACTTCGGTAGCTTGTGGTCTTTTGGTTTATATAATGCATATAATTGTACACATAACTTTACTGAAAACTATTATTATCGTCTCCTCTTTACTTATGTTTACCACCGTGCTGAGTTTTGGTATGTATGCAGATGGGACCTACGTTTACGGGGCCACAACAGGTCATATATAATCCACAGGTAGCACAGATGCCATTAACATATTTTCATCCAAATGGACAAGTAAGATGTTAATTGGTTTTTCTCCTTGGTGACTGTTGAATGAAAATTGGTGCTAAACAGTATTTATCTAATTACAGTATGGGCAGCTTGTTGGTCATCCCAGGCAAGTCATGTACATGCCGCCAGGATACATACCTGTAAGCACTCATTTTGCGCGCCAGTTGTTTGATTTGATTTGATTTTTTTTTTTTTTGGTGGGGTGTGGTGTCTTTTTGACATGAATAAGATAAGATTAATTCTTTTCTTTTATATCCATTTAAAAAATCCGCTGCACCTTTTCTTCGCTGTGGTAGAAGACATCATAGATGTGTGCCATTTATAAATCACACCTCTTAGAAATGTAGGAAGACAAATGGTAAGAGTGAATATCACAATGGTCAATTTGCCATAAAATTAAAATTATCTATATATGCTTAATGCTTTCTTCTTTTACCTGTCTTAATTCAAACAATGTTGGGTATCATTATCTCCTCCTGGGCAACTCGCAAACTCTTCAATTTGATATCTCACAGGAAACGCAGTATAGGGGACGGGATTATTAGGGATTGGTGACGTCTGCTTCATTCCTGAAAATAATTTCTGTGGATGGCTTGAAAGAGTTCTGAAGGAAAAAGATATCTGCTGTCTACGGAAGTCTTATATGCATAGGTCTTGTACATCCAGGCAAGAGGACTTGTTCAGGGATATAATTTTATGACCTTTAATTAACCAGTACACAGGTTTCTGTTTCTGTCTCCTTGTAGCTTCAGTTTGTTTGACTTCTTTACCTTAATTTTTATGCAATTTTTTATTTAATGTTTAATTGCCGGCATTCATTTGCCCCTTCTTTTAAAAAAAATTTCTGGTTCAAACATTTTTGCTGAATATAAAAATACGTTGAGATTTAAGTGGACTCGTCTTACGAAAAATAAGTAAATCAGATTCATCGTAAAGAGACGCATAAATGCAGGATCAGATTCTTTGTAGTCATTCCAAGTGAGTGAGAAAGGGGGAAGTCAGACCCGCGTATCAGAGGTAGACCTTATCTTTTCCCTTTTCCTTTGACTTGAATTGTAATTCATATGATCTGTTTCGCATAAACACTGTAGAGAATAATTTATTACACTTGTATGCTTGTGTTTATTTTGGTATAAATGTAAAATTCATTTATCGAGAACAGATTAAATGCATATGGCCACCTTTTAGAAAGTTTTCCTAAGCGTAATATCAAAACCTTTGGACAGTGGAGTATGTTTTTATCAAAACTAGCTTAAATTAATTAAAACCTGCTGAAATTATCAATTCCTTCTAGTTTTTAGATTAAGAGTTACTTACTTAATTTGGGTAAATTAAAAAGGTTAAATAAATGAGTGAATTATAACTTATATAACATAATCTTTAATTATAAATTGTGATCCTAAACCTATAATTATATATAGCAGTTTATAAGTAAATTAGTTTCAGGAAAGTGATGAATATAAAAAACAAAATGAATTAAGGTGTTATATTTTGAAGTGTGTATGGAGCCTGCATACTCATTGCGCCAGCCTAAACCTACGCAAAAACTGCCTAGCTCGGCCCAAAAATATGCTGCTTGAATGGAAAAAGGCAATTTCAGGCTACGGGCAGCGCTGCCAAAAAAATATGACATATATTATTTTTTTTACCAACAAATATATATTATAATATGTATATTATAATAACAATTATATACATTATAATAATATGCAGTGTAATATTATTTTTAGTCATTACCTTTTTTTATTTTGGTAAAACAATTGGAAAAATTAGGGGAAAGAAAAGACCAAAATAAAATGATACTTATTAAAAATATTTTATAATATGAAAAATGTAAACTTAAATTTAATAAACTATTAATAAATGATACTGTGTATGTTTCTAGACTAATTTTTTTTAATATTGAAAAAAACTCAATTATGGATCCTCCTTTTTATCTCACTCCTTTTTCGTTGTAAAGCACTAATACTTTTCATTTTTTATTCTCAGTTTTCAAAAAAATTAGAATAAAAATTAAAATCATATTAATTATATATTCACATTTTGGTGTTATAATATAACACGTCTATAATTCGATTTATGTGTTTGATGAGAGAAATTATTATATTGAGTTAATGCAGCTATTGATGTAAAATTCGTGTCTCATGAAGATATGTAATGTAAGCAATTATGAGTTAAAATTTGAGCATCAAAATTTAAAAGAAGGGATAATATTGGCATGGCTTGACACAAGCCAACAAAAGAAAATGCCTTATTTTTTTCACAATAAAATGTCATGTATTTTTGCTTGCCAGACTCCGATCTTTAAGGGATATGATTATATTTATAAATTGAATCTGCTTGTATAGCTTAATATTTTATATTTTAATATCTTAAAAGTTAATTATAAGTTAAATGAAATGTATTTTTTCAGTATAAGTGATTTTTTTTTATATGTGGCATGGACAAGCTATCATTCTAGGGCAGGAAAGCCAGTCATTGTCCAACCCAAAATAATTAGAGCTTCTCGGGGTGATGTAGCCCGTTCATCTTTCGGACACTCCTAATTATATTTAAAACTAAAAATTTCACTAGAAATTTTTCTTGATTGATTCGGACAATAGTCAACAAAAGTAGTTGTCACGCACTGTATTCACTAGTTAAATGCAGTGCATGCAAATCGCTCACACAAATGACATATATATTTAACCGATCAGAATTACTTGAAATGAATTTCAAGTTAGATTGGAACTTGAAAGAGAAAAAATAAAGAATGAGTTCCACTTGTGCAGTTTTGCAAAGTATACAAGATTAAGTGATTTTAACTCGCCGTAAACACCTATTAATTAATTACATAAATAAAAATAGTGAAGCATAGAATTAGAAATTAAAAAGCTAAATCGGTACCATGGAATATGAAAATAAAATAAAATAAAATATAGTGGTTGATATCTGACGCAGCACTTCTTGATTCCTTCGGACATTAATCCAAATCGAACAACGCTACAAAGTTGTCTTCACACAATAAATTATTAATAATTAATTCATAAAACACAGAAGCCGTATTTGTTTCGTGTTTTTAAGTTATTATCGTTTAGCACTCCTACTTGTCCTCTATATATTTGTATTACTACCTCCTATCTTTTAACATAAAAGTTAGTCTAATTTTTAATTTAATTCTAAATATAATACCCCAATCTATTTTACCTCTCATATTTATTTATTTATTTTAAAGTAGTTCTTGTAATAGTTGCATATTTAAAATATTTTATCAAATGTTATAGCTAACACATTTGATTAATAAAGATATTTTAGAGAAAATAATATTTATTTATTACAGATAACTAAATTAGCAAACTTTCTTAATATACTCAAACTAATCAACTAATTCTTATATTAAAGACAAAAGGTAGTATTACAATTCACATCTAATATATAAATAATGCGGAATAGAAAAGGACATCTATGAATCATTCTTGATAAAAAAAAATTATGAGCCGTGGGTAGGTGTGTTTCGTTTAAAATTAACCATTGACATATTGGTTGAGTGATATACTAGGTTAATAAATCCATTGTAGTTTGATTTGAGAATGAAATCGACAATTACCCTTTAAATGAAATATAATTATTTTGAATTAATTTTTGCACAGCTAGATCTTTCATCCTTCAAAATTTGGGATTGATTTTTTTTTTTCTAATTTGTAAATTTATATAGATATAATTCATCACTGTCAATCAACTTGTTATTTCACTAATGATAAAGTTTTGAAAGATAACATACACAAAATCCAAAATTTAAGATAGTTATTTGTAAAAATATATTAAAAAATTAGAAAGATTCATTGTTTTATGAATTATGACGTGTTATTATCGTACGTCAATAATAAAAAAAATCAACTAACGGTATATGATTATGAATTCAAAATTTCTTAAAACAAATGAAAAATTATTTTTATACAACGTAAAGTTAGGAAAGTTACATATAAACTTAACAATTAGTAATAATAATTGGGATAAGACATCCTAGGCCTCTCAATCCTCGACAATCATTACCAAAACTCTTGTATTATATTATCAAAACAGGACATTATTAATGATAAGCATTGTTAGATCACACCTCTAAATGGGGCCCTCTAATTTGTCTTCTAATTTTCTTTTCTTCATGAAATGCCAAACTCGTACTATGTTTGATATGATCCAAATTAGGACTTATTGTAATATTTCAATTGTGTTTGGTTATGTGGGGTTTTCTAGAAATAATATAATATTATAGAACATATTGCCAAATGCACTTAATCTTTAGATTCCCATAAGACTCAATTTTCTTTGATCAAAGAGGTGTATAGAGGAAGCATGCAATAGAAGTAATATTAAATTTTTTGGTTTGATATTATCACCCACATATCATTATCAATTGTAGGGTTTTTAATTAAGGATACGTCTTATCTTAAATTATGTTTTCAACGTTAATAGAACAACAATAGTTACCCGGTGAGTGAAAATGTAACCACTTTTCATTACAAAAATCTGGCTAATAAATATTTGAATTAGAATTACATATAATCCTAATTCTTATAATCAATGAATTGTGCCATAAATGACTGGGAAAAAAATTGAGATAGCTAAATAATAATAATGCAATGAACTATTCATGATAAGATCAAATAATTTACGAAATGCTCTAAACATGTTCAGACAAAAATTTTTTTAAATATCTGAGGACATTTCTAATTAACTTTAATTGTGTATATTCCTTATTATTACTTTTTTTTTAACAGAAATATTCATTATTATTACTACCATCAACATTGGAGGATTTATTTGATATATAGTATATTTAATTTGACAGTATAAAGTATAAACCAATGCAATATATTATATCTTTATATTTCTTCAATTTAAATAATAAACCATAGAAGTTTTAAATTTACACATCAAATATTTCTCATTCATCTCAGTGATGTACACATATATAATTAAATTCAATCTTAACAACAAGCAATAAAATAGGAGTATCTTTTGTCAGTAGTAGAATCGCATATGTTTTTTTTATCATGAAAACTCCGAATCACCTACCACTTATTTAAATTAAAAATACAAGGATCCTTACCACTTATTTAAACTATGACAATCCTTGTTAACTTATCTTGTATAAAACTTGGTCAAAGTAGCCCTACTTTGGGGGATCAAGTTCCAACTTTATATAATGGCAGAGTCATGCAAGGTTGGGGTCGCTGATGTGGGCTATTATTGTGATTGTTTCATTTGTGTTTGTTATCTGCATATATCTGTAATGACCTGACTCATGTTGAGTTAGTTTGCTGGTTCACTTAAAACTTATATGTTGTTTCGTTTGATTTTAATAAATTTGACTTTCAATCTAAAGAACAGTAACTCTACTCCTGTGATCTCCCTTATTTGTATTTCAGCTCTTTAGACATACCTAACCAAATGGCTTTAGAAGGAGGATTCAAATCTATGAGCCATAGAAATAACCAACACTTCAAGCAGCAGGAAGATTTTTTTTTTTTGGCCCCTTCTTGACCATTTTGTTTTTAACTTTTAAGGCCTTGTTTGGAAGATCACGCTCAGGCCTTCAGGAAGCGCGTCAATGAAGCAAACAAGACAACAACAAACAGAAGGCTTAGGAGTAGTAGCCGGGGTAGAACTTAAAAGGCATAAATCAGAAATCAGAATGTGAATAGAATGCGAGGCTCAGCATCTCCCCAATCTTTCATTATAAAGCGAATATATAAATTTTAAGGCACCCGAAAGAAAGTAAAAACGTTGAAAAACATTATAACAGATATTTCAAGTTTTTTGGAGAGCTGCACACTTGTATTGATGCTGATGAATCCCTCGTTTTAGGAGACGTCCCCTCGATACAGACCAAGGCAAAAGGAGCAGAAGCTGTGTCGTTTTGATACAACCAGATGGTGAGTTTGTTGTATGTTTTGGAGGAAGATGACATGCGCTGTTTTATGTTTTATGAAGCTCAGGATGTTGGAGATGATCTTCTTCTGGGTTGGAAAGTTAAAAGTTCATTTGTTCAGGGCCGATGAAAAACTGAGATACTAAGCAATTATTTTGTTTCTTGTTGTTTGAATAGTGTGGGTGTCTGCCATTTATGAAAAGCTTCTTTCTTTTTTTCCCTTCCTTTTTGGAGGTTAAGCATTGGAGGTGGGGAATTCTTTTCTATCTTCTTGCTTCGATTCATATGCATGGTACTCTGTGTCTGTTCTCTATTCCTGATATCTCCTTTCTTTTTCTCATCATGTGAATTCGAATTACTATACATATTGGGTTAGAGATGACTTCCGAGTTCTCAACATTGTTATTGGCCTTCCTTTGTAATTTTGTGTCACTGATGATACAGTCCATGGCAGTTGGCAGGAAAGTCCGGGGAGAATGATTGAAAAACAGCATTTTTTTTTTTATTGGTTAACTATGTCGGTTGAAACATTTCCCCCTTGTTTCTCTTCAGCTTCACAGTTGATTGTTAATTAGATGGAGGAATGACTACAAGGAACACCTCAACAGAACATATGATTTATCAAGCGGGCTGCTTCTCAGTTTAGCAGAGTGCAGACCAATATTGCATTAAACTTGCTTAAAATATTGTCTGTTTTCTTTCTGCAAGGCTATTCAGATGTCATGATTAATGGCTCATGGTTACTATGGGATATGTTGATTCAAGAGTTTATATATATCAATCAGTGACAATCCGTGATTCTTTTATTAAAGTATTGACAAGGTCCTCATAGGATCTTCTCTATACAGTTCTTCATCCTATCCTTGCTTCCTTGTGACAAGAGGACGATGGTTTCTTTCTCCCACACACATCATGAAAATGGTTTCAAACACATATGCACGTGTGAATTTGTTTGTTCCTGTATAAGTTTTTTCATGCTTATCTCTGGTTTGGCGTCATCAGGTAAGTGAAGAATCAAATTCATTCAATTAGTTCAGGCTTTTCAACTTTCAGCTGCTAATATTTACTGCAACAGCAATTTGCTAGGTATACTGTTCATGGTTGCTGGTGATTGAGAAAGATGTAGCCAAATCCATGTTATCTGCCTCGTTTAATGTCTGAGTTTCAGTGAATTTGTATTTTAATAGGTAATGGTTAGGCCATAGTGAAGTACGATGAAGGGTTCATGTAAGAAAGATTTTGGCCTACGTTCTGCTCATTCAACATCCCCTGATTTTCTTGGATGCTCATCATGGAAAACTTCATCTGGATTTCATGGACAAGAATCACCTATGTCCAAAGGTTTGAGCTTAAACATGGGAGTTCTTCCACAACAATGTCTTAATACTAAGCTGTCTAGTTTTCCATTTCAAGAACAACTCTCATCTTCAACTCAACCAAATGAGCAATCTTATCCTAAAGGTGTTTCGGCAAATTCAGGTATCATTATTTTAAATGAAATTCTGTTTAGTATCTGTAATTTTGAAATAATTTCATTACCAGCTGGTTTTCTGCTATTGCTGTACAATATTTCTATGATGAAACTCCAGCACTATGGATACCAGAAGAAAAGACACGAAGTAATGCAAATATACAATAACATTCTAGTTGCCGCATGATATCTTCTTACTTAGCATCAACTCTTGTAGAATAATGACATCTGTAGTATATCATGCTTTTAAAATGATCTGAGATGGCTTAGCCATCAAACAAATATTTTCAATTGCATGGGTTTGGTACTTCACAATTCATATCAATTGATGTTTGCCTTCCTTCCTACAATAGGTCAGTTTTCTATGCAATATAGCAGTTCTTCTGAGGGAATGTCCTTGGGAGGTCTCATCAGGTCATCTGTGGGGAGGCAGGATTTTGCCTTCGCTTCTCCATTTCTGGATCATAACAAATCAACTGTAAGTAGACACATACTTACGTTAGTGTTCTGTGTATGTAAGATAGGTGCATCTCTGTTCCTTAAAATTAGGATTACAGATACATATTGCATCCCATAAACCCAACTCATCTTTTGGTCGTCTTTTAAGTGCTGCATGTGAATTACAGTCTAAGATATCAGAGTATGTTCTTTTCTTTTATTAGTATATTTATGTCTCCTTGTTTTTGGTGATTTTGTGACCAGCATAACAGTATATTATATAGTTGAAATTTTCTTATGCTAGAGTTTGATGGAAACAAAATTGTTGTCATTGGTTGTCACAAAAAAATTGCGGTTGTTGGTTTTTCTGACTTTTGTGAGAATGAATTTGGCTTTGTTATTAAGGTTACGGTTTGGATTGAGGGCAAGGGAAGGGAAATGAAAGTTTAATTTTGATAATTTCTTATGCTTTCATTTACTCTCCCCAGTCCAAACTTATTTTAAGGAAAAATTTATTTTATTTTAAGGAAAAATTTAGATTTAAATTAAAAAAAATAAAGTTTGACTTCCCTTCCCTTCCTCCCATTCTTCTCAATCCAAACTCATCCTAAGGGCATCTTAGGTATGGTGACAAGGAAATGAAGGGAATATCAAGTGAAAACTACTGGTAGGTAGGGTGTGAAATGACGTCATACCCCTTATTCTAATGCCTATACCAAGACAAATATTGTTGAATAATGATAACAACAACATAATAGCACTACACAACAATTTTTCTCTCGGTTCCATCTCTGTCTCTTGGCTGCCAAGGGCGAGGATCCCATCCCACCCTTAGTTGAACTTAGGAGTTAGAGTGAAAGCTTCTAGTAGAAAAAAGCATGCTAGTATGTGAAACTCAGGAAAAATTCTGAGCAAAGCCTTTCAGCAAAAAACTGCCAATGGCTTTCAGGAGTAATTACATCTGCCAGCTGTTTGTGTGGCTACCGGCTATATACCACTTTTTAAATGGTCAATCAACTGTCCATATCTACCCCCCCCCCCCAAAAAAAAAAAAACTGTCCATATCTTTCATCTTGTTATCCATGCATAATTATTCTTTTTAGATTTATTGTGCTACATGTTATTTTCCAGCCTTGGAGATTCTTAGTCTTTAGAAAGTGAGGCCTATAAAGTAACTTTTCATTTAATAATAAGCGTTTTAGTTTTTCCTTTGCATCTCCTTTGCTCTTATTCTTTCATTGCTTTGCTCGTTTAGTAAAAATAATTCATCTTTGTGGGGATATTGTTTCCTTTCTTTGACCCTGTTGTTTTTATAATAAACTTTTAAGATATGCAGTATTCTTTAGAAGAAAGCATGTTATGCTTGTTGACTTTAATTCCCCTGTTTAATAGACATAAGGAAATGGACTGAGAAGTAGAATGGAAAAAAGTTGATTTTGGTGATGAAATAACCGTCGTACCTGTACATTAAAAAAAGGAAAACTTGGAATTCCTTTTCTGCTGTGATACCAAATGGATAGTTTATGAAGAAAGTAAGTGGACTATCCATCTGTAATAAGGTTGTTCACTTCAGTCTTTTACTCTTCAGATTCTCTTCTGCTATATTCTGTTTGTAAAGTGAGTCTATAAAGCCATGTGACCTGAGTTAAAGGCATAAAGCAGCAATAGTGCCAGAATGGGTTTCCCTTGTCTGAAACATACTCCATTTTATATATCTAACCAGATTCATCATGCTCAACTAATGGGAATGGCTCCTCTTCGACTTCCACTTCCACTTGACTTCACTGAAGAACCCATATTTGTGAATGCAAAACAATATCATGCAATTCTGAGGCGAAGACAGCATCGATCAAAACTCGAATCACAGAACAAACTCAGCAAAACGCGGAAAGTAAGTGCATTTTCATTTCCCTCTCCCTTTCCTTGTTCTTCAACATCACTTTCACTTGAACACACTGAGATTGTAAAATTCTGCAGCCATATCTTCACGAGTCTCGGCATCTACATGCGTTGAAGAGAGCCAGAGGTTCCGGTGGACGCTTTCTTAACACCAAGAAGCTTCAAGAATCATCAGAACTACCTTCAGCAAGTCAATATGAAACAGAACCTGAGTTTCTTGGGTTAGAAAATTGCAGAGGCAGCGCACCCACCTCCACTTGTTCTGACAGCGACAACATATTACAGCAACAACATGAATCAAATTTGAGGTTGTCCAGAAGATATCCTTCTAATGTTGGAATCAATGTGCATAGTTTCTCAGTTGACCATATGAGTGGTGATGAGAATCAGCATGGGTTGTCTGTCTTCATGTGACAGATTTGAAAGGGGAAGTTATAGCGGTTATTCTTGTTTCATCTTTCGGTTGGAAAAAGATCACTGCTTGATTGAATCCCTTGGGAAGTCATCCTCGGCTCATTTTATGTTGTGTATTTCTATTACTAGCTTGTTTAAGGAGAGATTTTTAGGTCTTTGCTATATATTTAATTAGATTAAGTATGTATTATATGTAAACATACAGACCTGTTGGAATTAAATCCTAATAAAAACAGGATATGTTTGAATGTGTGTGTTTTCAGGGAGAATTGGATGAAATGTAACTTGAGCCCGCCGCTTGAATTCTTATTTCATATGTAATTTTCAGAAATAGTTCAGTGGATATACAAAAATTATTATTATTATTATTACTGTTACTACTTTTTTTTTTTTACAATTACTATTACTACTATTGACACTACTACTAGTCTACTACTACCATTATATATAAAATTTCAAAAATTTGAAATAGACTATAAATGCGATCGTATTTAAATTAAACAAAGCGCATCCATTTGATTTCTTAATGTCACATAAGGATTTTTTTATTAAAAAAAAAGTAAAGTACCTCTATTAAAATTTTAAATATGAATAAAATATTATCAAATATGGACATATCATATTTAATTTTTAAAATAATAATGATTAGGATACAAAATTATTATTTGAGATTATGGCGTTACAATTAAAAAACTAGATAGAAAATTAGAAGACTAAATTAAAACTCTGTACAAAATTAGTGAATCAAAATACAATTTAATCAACATAAAGATATTGCAGCGAGAGAAAATACATATAATTCATTGATAGAATTAAAAATATACTAAAACTTTATAATTTTAAAAAATTGTCATTTGGATGCATGAATAGTAAATGTATAATAACCATTGATTATAATTATTAGATTGTATTAATTTTTAGATAAAATATGATAAATTTTTAAATTTTAGAAATAATTAACACAGTCTGTAAAATTGAAATGATTATTTATTATTATTTTTCCTATGATATCCAGATAAAAATCAAATCACTTATCATCATTTATTCATTCCTTAATGAGGTTTACAAAAGTGAAAATACACGCCTATTGCATTTACTCCAAATTATGTATTTCCATTTTTAAAAAACCTCAGTATTTCTTTTTTTTTTTTGAGCCAAAAATTCAATATTTCTACATAATATATTTTTCTATATTTTATGAAGGAGCCATATAGTTACAATATTCATCCCCCTTAATTAAAATTTAAACCAGAAAACCTAATATCAAAAACCCAAGTCAATTCCATAAAGAAATACCTTCCTTCAAATTGCACACCATCACCCCTCCACACAGCCTTCTCCTTTTTCTGAATTTCTCAAGGCAGGAACCGCCACCTTCTGACCAGCAATTCCGTTCAATCTTCTCTCGCTAGACGACCTGGTTCTCGTTATCTTCTGTCTTGTGCACAGAGGCAGTCATTGTTTCTGATTTTGCTTCTTAAGACTCTCAGAGGGAAGTTGAGGTAATGGACCCGCGAACAAATTGTAATCCTCGCACTGTTGAAGAGGTTTTCAGGGATTTCAAAGGCCGAAGAGCTGGAATGATTAAAGCCCTTACAACGGGTACATGCTTCTCGCATTTCTGTGTCTTTGTTCTCTTTCTCTATTTCGTCTTTTCTGGGTCATTGATATTTGTCCGCGAGAATAACCGTATACAAGACGGGAAGGGGTAAGTTTTAATGCGGTGTTTGCAGCTGCTTCGGCTTAAATCTGTGCACTTTCGTTGCGAACCAGTAGGGTTTTTATATTTATTTATTTTCGTTAGTTTTGATTTCCTAATGGTTAAATTGGAGTGAGGGCTTTAGAGTTATCTCAAGAATATTTGGGAGGAACATGGAAGGGGATTTGTTGAATTCGGTGTTTCTTTTTGACTAGATTGTCCTGTACCTTCAGTTGTTTATCATCCATGTTACTCATGAGTGAAGAGAAGCAGAAATTCTTCAACCCAACAGTGTTTTTGAGATAAAAATGGCAGTTGCTTAAATTATTTACTAACCTTCACTGTTTGTTATTATCTAAGATATCGAGGGAGGAACTTTTTCGTTGTTTACTTTTACCTTCTAACTTATCTTTGAATTGTATTTAATGCTGCTTTCCGTTCAAAGTTTTCTGCATTCAGTGCAAAATAATCAGGCTCTTTATTATTTTTTTTTTGTTCTTAATTTCCACGAACTCTGGAGTGGGAAGGGATCTATTAACATTGTTATTTGTTATTGAGAAGATTGTCCCGCATTCTCAATTTTTCCTCATTCATGCTAATCACGAGCGTAAAAGAAACGGAAAATCCACCTCTTCCTCCAAAACGAAATGTCATGACGACTTTTTTCATAGTTTATTGAGTTGGGCTTTTACCTTATAGAACCTATTTACAGGTTTAACTTTCAAACTGCACACGTTAGACTGTCACACGGATGCAACTGATACTGGGAATTCCTGATGGAATCATGCTTTTCCGTTATTGTTTCCAGAGCAGTTTGTTAGTATAATGTACAGTCAAGCTATACCCTTTCTTGTAAGATGGACAGAGGTAGCATTGGTATAACCCGCAAGGCTTGGTTTAGAGCTGGAATTATCTATGTTGGTGTGGATTACAATTATTGGTTTCTGTTGTAAGGTTCATGACATTTGCTTCTCTCTTTCTCTCTCTTGTAAGTCTTGTCATTTTCCTTTCAGTGAGGCTGGCTTAGGCCTCTTTTACAGTTGACGCAGGGGTTGTTAATCTTGGTTTCTTTGCCCTTTTCAACTATTATCCGTAAAAACATTTTCAGTACTTTTGTATGAATTTTCATTTTGATGGTTATTGGTTGAAATAGGATAAGGAAAATGGCAGTAAGTTATATGAGTTCTGAGTTTAAATGTTTCAGTATCTAGAGCCCGGAGTAATGCTTTAGAAGAGTCATAGATGACGGATGTTGGTCTTCTTCTGTTCTGTGCTGATTGTGGGCGAACCAAACATTATTATCTTGTCTTGTTTGTTTTAAATACAATTTCTAGATTTTTTTTGTCATTGAATCTTTTCATCTATATGAGTGGCAAAAACTTTCTTGCTGATTATTTCTTTGTTTGGTCATTCTGTTGCAGATGTTGAAGATTTTTACAGCCAATGTGACCCTGGTTAGTAGGAATGTCCTTAGCTCTCCATTCATTTATTCCTTTTCAGCAAACTTGTTTGCTAAGTCGCTGATGTGTAATGGTATTGTTTGTGGTGGTAAAGTCCCTGTGTGTAAATATTTTTGCATTTCCCATTTGTAAATTTTTTAAGTTTCTAGTTGGTGCAATACTCTCTAATGCTTTCTTTAAGAATTTAAGACATTTCATCAGTTGATTCATGATATCATTTGTATCCTTTTGTGCACTCTCTAGAGTTTAAATTTTCTCCTCTTTAAGTGCGGTTAGTGAGTAATGTATTTTATAGCCCCTCATTTCTTATTGTATTGAGTGCATTGATAGATTTGTTACACACAGTATTTTATAATCAGAAATAGGTCAGCCTTGCTTATACTTACTTTATCTGTAGCTTTTCTGCTCTTTATATTTTGTTTTGGTTATGATTATATTACTCTTTCAGAGAAGGAGAATTTGTGCTTGTATGGACTCCCTAGTGAGCAGTGGGAAGTGAACCTACCTGCTGAAGAAGTTCCTCCAGAGCTTCCCGAGCCTGTTCTGGGAATTAATTTTGCCAGGGATGGCATGCAAGAAAAAGACTGGTTATCTTTAGTCGCAGTCCATAGTGATGCATGGTTACTTTCCGTGGCCTTCTATTTTGGAGCCAGATTTGGTTTTGATAGAGCTGACAGGTACTTTGTATTCAAGGCATACCTACATAGATTTTATCTTACATTAACTTGTATTTTCTTCCTTTTTTTTTGTTGGTTTTTTTTTTTTTTGGGGAAGGGGGGGGGGGTGCTGGTCTTGTATTGAGTTGGCTATTAAAACTTAAAGGCTGCAAGTACCTTGGTTCTTAGATCGTGGCTGCCTGACTTATGTGACATTTTATTTATGCTCATTGACACTCTGTCTCTTGATGTAGCAACCATTAACTTTCCATCTGGTTCTCCATGCAGAAAACGACTTTTCAATATGATCAATGAACTGCCAACAATTTTTGAAGTTGTTACCGGTACAGCAAAGAAAGAAGTGAAGGAGAAGTCTTCAAATCAAAGCGGCAGCAAATCTAAGTCTGGCTCTAAGGTGGTAAATATAATTTTCTTATGATTGCATTTCAGAAGTAAAACTTGTTCATTAATAGTTCAATAATTGTGTACTTATGTAGTGAAGAAATCCTGGTTGGTCTTGGGTGCAGTCTGTTTTTAGATGGAGGCCTTTTTAGTAATTATGCCCCTTGGTCAATGAGTCAATTTCATGTCTGGGGTTTCTAGTCTAGAAGTGGAGATGTTTAATTTCGTGCAATTATTATGAAATTTGTGACACAATGTGCTATTATGCATGTATTGAAACTGTATATGGCTTAGGTAGGAATTTTGTATCATATAAATATGCATATAACCCTAAAAATGTAGGTTATAGGTGGTGGTTATTCACTTGTTTGAGTGCATCTCGAGATGCTTGCTAAATGGATGGAAAATTGTTGGTGCTGATTGATTCCTGCAATCTTCCCTTTGCGCTTGTGAGCATAGTGTCAAAGTTTATACACTTCTGAGCTGGTTCGTTTTTCTCATTTTATTTATTGGCTTCGGGAGCAGAGAGCCTCAGAAAGCCAGGGTAGACAATCGAAGATGTTGGCAACCCAAAGATGAGGATGAAGTTCCAGACGAGCAAGATGAAGATGATGAACATGGAGATACCTTGTGTGGGGCATGCGGTGAGAATTACGGTACTGATGAGTTCTGGATTTGCTGTGACATCTGTGAGAAGTGGTTCCATGGCAAATGTGTGAAGATTACCCCTGCAAGGGCGGAGCATATCAAGCAATACAAATGCCCATCATGCAGTAACAGAGAGCTCGGTGCTGATGGCTAGGTTCTGTCATTGCAAGGCGTGCTAGCTTTTCTTGGTCTGGTTGATCTACTTTCCAATGCAGTCGATGGATAGGTTCATATTTACCCCTGTAGCTTTCTTCTTTTCTCTTTTTTTCCTTTTCTTTTCCCAGACTAGGAATTTTTCCTGTGATGATTTAGGTTCATCTT